AGGTAAAGACTAAATGAAAATGTTGTAACCGCTGAAAAGTAAAGTACTCGTATTTTATTTATCTATATTCGAGAAAATATAGATATGCGCTTAAAACATAATTAAATATGAGTAGCAAACAGCAATTAAGATTATCACAAAAATCAGTTCACTGCAAAAATAATGCGCTTATCGTGATCTGGCGAATTGAATATGTATATAATTTGAATAAGTGAGAAATCGAGTAAATCTTTCACANAGATTCATTGTGTATTATGGGGTGGTAAGATTTATCATGAAACAAGAGATTTTCTAATTTTGTAGAACCGGGCGAGTTCATATCAAGTGAAAATAATTTAAAACATAGAGAACTTAGTTGGAATGTTTGTAGATCGAAGGTTATTTTAGTGAACGTTTTATTTTATTAGAAGCGTGTATATTAGCTCGTTCTTTTATACAATATTAAATGATTCTACCATGTTTTGCATTTCTCTTAGAAGCAGTATTTTATTTTTATAACTGAATTATATGATAATAAATGAGTAAACTTGTATTATCCGAACTAGACATAGCAACAAATTTCACAGTGACTGGCGCATAATGACATACATTATAATCCATCACCATGTCAGCATAATCGACTGAAAAATCAGAAAAAAATAGGATATTGAAAATTCGTTATTTAGATTCGAATTAAACGTTGTTTTAAACTTTTCCTGCATCAACTTAACATATGCACGAAATTTTTGTCAATATTTCATTTTAATTCTTTCTTAAATTAAATTAAATGAGTCAGACAGTGTGTGGGTAATGCGCAAGTATGAAACTTTTCAACAATCGCATTTTGAGTTTTTTAATCAAGAAATGTTTTCAAAACATATCAATGACAGATCGTTAGTTGTAGAATTCCAGTCTTTACAAGCTGGCCTATGTTGTTTTGACTTTCATAGAAAAGGACAATGTAAACTCTTATACAATTTCTAACTCAATTTACCGTTTATGAGCTTCCATACAAATGGATCAATTTCGTTTTTGTGTATAACGATTAGTTACAAAGAAAAGACTATTACTAAGAAAAATCAAATAACTCTGATCATGTCAAGTGCTTCAAAATTGGTGAAGAAAAATTGTACCTCAGCGTTACTAAAAATGTCACGCTGTTTTCTCGCACTTTTTATCTAAGCAAAAGTAGTTTGGAGAAAACGATTTTAGTGTTTTAAAGCCTGATCAAAAAGCACTACAAAACTAACTCGAGAAGTGTTTCACTTGGAGAAATAGTTGCAGAAGAAACTGCATCTTATTAGTGGCCCTGTAGAAACGGGGTCTTTTTATGTCACAGTCAAACAACCAAAACTCCTCTCTATAATCAAGAGACTTAATCTAAAAATGGTCATTTTATGACATAAATATATTATGACAAGTTGCATCAAATCACGTTTGAACCATTTACGTAACTGTATATGATAGGCAACAATAAAAGCTTTTAAAAAACACACAACTATTTATAAAGACTATTTTACTTTGTTTGAATATCTTTACTTAAAATAATCAGTTATTTTCATTTAGTCCGTTTGATAATGTGAAAAGAAATTGTAAAATAGAGTCCCTGTAAAAAAAATTCTAAGAATACAAAAGAATCAATAATTATCGAATAGATTTGTTTAAAAAACACGAACATTATTCTGAAACAAGAGCTTTTTTTAGCAATTTTCTACTGTTTTTCATTTTTATAGGAAATATAGGAAAATTCATCGAAATATAGAAGAAAAAATAGGAATTTTTTTTAAATATAGGACGAATCCGAGGCCAGCAGTTTTTGAAACAAGTAGAGTAGTATTGAGATTTTAATGGATTTGTGAATCTTTTTTTTTACATAAAAGCAACACACAAAAAGTTTTTTCTTCGTTGAAATTATGAAAAACAATGAATACATATTATTCTTACTAACATATTCTAACTTAAAAATACTTGTTGAAGTGAATATTCAAAAACAATAGAAAATATGAACACTATAACATTGAATTGATATTATATAACTTTCTTGTATTTCGTAGAAGCTTTGCATCTATAATATGTACACTATATATTTACTTCTTTTCATATATTTCTGTCTTTTCCTTGTGGGTGTGGGTGCGACAAGGGGGGAAAAGCGAAATTCTGTACTTCTTGTACTTCTTGGTACTTCAATAATATATTCATTTTTTTAACTTTTACATCATATTGATGCTAGTGTTATGGAATTTATTTTTAATAGTTACAGTGCACCTCAATTGATTTCCTGCTTGGACATATTTTTTATTTTTATTACTATACTTCTTTTATATATTAATCTACTATATACAGTGCTGTTCACAAATATAGAATCACTCTCGAGTTCAGTTTTCTTTTCAATTTTTCTCCTTCCCCATATCACTTTTCTGCTTAAACCTACTCTTTACAATAGCTTTCGATATGCTCTTTTAGAATCTACCGCGGTAGATTCTGAAAGAACACATCGAAAACTATTTTATAGAGTAGGTTTGAGTAGAAAACGTGATATGGAGAAGAAAAAAAAATTAAAAGGAAACTGAATTCCACAGTGATTCTATATTTGTGAACAGCACTGTATAGTGAGAAAGGAGGGCGCGCTGCATCTTTTGGTGTATTTACATAAAACATCAAATGCAGTTTAGAGTGTAAAATAAGGGGGAACAAACTGATTTCTATGATTTCCTTGATTTTCAGTGATTTTTAGTGATTTTTAGTGATTTTTATTACTGGAAATCAGTTTTGATGTGTTCATTGCACATCAGTAGAAATCATTGGAAATGTTTAGAAATGAAGAAAAATGATGAGATACCAATACAAATCAAGCGTGGTCACTAAAAATATTGCAAATTCTGGAAAAAGAAGAAATTAGTAAAAATCATCAAAAATCAATAGAAATCCAGATTTTATTTTCAATTGTATAATTGAAGTATTTCTGCGATTTGAATTGATTTCCATTGATTTCTAACAGCTTCTAATGGCTTCTCGTGGTTCTCAACAGTCTATAATCAGATGTCCGTCGTTACCCAGATCGAACAGTACGGTCCGTATACGGCCATTGACAGTTACTTTACGACTATTTTACGGGCGAAATTTTGCCGTAATATCTGGCGTAGTAAAACGGACCGTATTATCATGAGAGTACGAAGCACAAACAGTCGTCAACCATGAAAATTCAGTCCCGTTTACGGTGCCGTATTACTGCGCCAGGTATTACGGGCAAATACGGTCTATTTACTGCCGTAAAGATACCGTTTTGACATCGTTTACCGTCAACAAACAGACTGTAAACGAGTCCGTTTTGATCAACCTGGGTATTCATATCCTGAATGCTGGATAATGATTTCCATTATTGGAAATCAATTTGTTCCCCCTTGGTATAAAAGCTGTATTAGGAAATAAGGGACATTTTTTTCTGTACGTGTTTGACAAGGTATTCGTAATATTGTAACATGTTTTAATTCGCATATATCTCGGCTGCGGTATATGACAAAATCTTGAATTTTTTTCCACAAAATGTGTCGTGAAACGCTCTATATATCTGTATAATTGATTTCCTTTTTTGCCTCTTCTAATGGTTTCTCGTATTATCAAAATGAACAACCTCCATGATAGTGTCACTTCCTATCATACGGAAAATGTTTGAAAGACATTGTTCTTTTGCATATATCTCGACATAAGAAAATAACAGAGCATTGAATTCTTTTTAGATAGATGCGTTGTTGTACGTTCTACAAAAGTTGTATGGACCAACTCTGCTGGCGAATTAAAATAGAATCTCAAACATTTTTAATATGATCTGACGAGACACTATTATGTGGGTTGTTCACTTTCATTGTAAGAAAAACAGGTTAATAGGAATTCAGTCATAGAGATATATAGAGCTTTTGACGGCACGTCTTTCGGAAAAAATTCAAGATGTTATCTCCTATCAGCGCCGAGATATATCCAAAATATAAAGTGTTACAAAATTTTGGACGTCCAGACTTGTGCAGAAAAAATGTCCTTTTTTTTCGAATGCATCTTTTACATCTTAAACTGCATTTTTGATGAAATTGAAACTTATGGACGAGATTCTTATTCTAAGTTAAATTATTTTTACTAGTTTTTTACAACCTGCTGTATTTCTAGGAAGCGTCATTAGTTTTTAATCTCTATACGCTTAGGTAGAGCATTGATTACACTATTCCGCTGTATGGAAAGAGAAAGAGAAGAATGAAGGAAGGAGGTAGTGAACGTAGATAGCGCCTCTACCTAACACAAACGAAGCCCATGCAGTTAGATAGTTTAATCAATGCTCTATCTAAGGATATAGATATTAAAAACTACTGATGTTTCCTAGAAATACACAAGACATTGTAAAAACTAGTAAAAATAGATGAATCAACCTGTATATTCATAAAGAATCCTCTTGTTGACTATTAACTGAAAAAACATGAGTTTGACATATGATCGACTCTCTCGAGTCATTCAATCCAGCCGCAAATATAATAGCAATCTTTTTTAATTTATTGTACCGATTAGAGTTTTTCTTTCAAATAGATTTGAAGAAATTTCTATTCACCTTCATGTATCTATATAGCTGTCGTAGCACATTTTTGTACTTCTCTGTACTTCTTGGTACTTCTTCGTACTTCTGTACTTCAGAAGTACAGAAGTCCGCTTTTTCTCCCTTGGGGCGCGAGTGTTAGTCAGTAAAAAATACTCATACCTACACTCCAAAATGTTGTAACAGTAGTCAAATTTTGTTTGAAAAGATTGTTAAAAAGTCTTTTATTCGAAAGTTTCTGAATCGACAGAGGAAATTCCCGTAGTAGCTATCTTCAAGACTGATGTTTCAAACAGATAATAATCAATATTAAAGAGGGCTTGTAGACGCACTTATTATCTTGAGGAAAAATAGATTGACATTGCAGAGAATAACACTATAAAAATCTGTTCTCGTTTTACTTTTCAGATATTAATCATCGTAAAATATTTTCTTTCTAATAACTATGGCTACAGCAGCAGGAGGAGGAGAAGAAGCGACAATACAACGTATATTACGCATTACTGATGTTGCAGAAGAGTCGTTAAGATTTCTTGCACCCATCGGTGGTTATTCGAAAATGCCCCTTGTTTCACTTGAAGAAGCTGTCAAACCACTTGTTCCTATTCTACCTGATGTTCAAAGTCATGCATATATCGCTAAACAAAACTGTAAGAAACCCGCTGACAAATTGACACCAGATGAATCTGCTTCAATTATGCTTTACACCATGGGGTGGGAGCCTCCTGAAGAATGTCTCTACGTTGTTTTGAATACTACATTACGTGCAACGGACCGACAACAAAAACTCAAACCTTGGTATCTTTTTTTGAGACTTCTTCTTAATGCACTGTTTCGTCTACCGCTGCTTCCAGCAATTGCATACAGAGGTGTTAAATTAGACCTCAGTCGTCGCTATGTTGAAGGAGAAACAATTGTCTGGTGGGGTTTCTCATCATGCACAACATCTGTTGGTGTGCTAAAATCAGAAATGTTCTTGGGAAAGACCGGTAACAGAACTATGTTTACCTTACACTGTAAATCAGCCAGAGACATTCGTAAACATTCATTTTATCCCGTTGAAGATGAAGTACTTCTGATGGCAGCAACACAATTTAAAGTAGTCAGCTCCCTTGATCAAGGTAATCTTCACATTATCCAATTGGAAGAAACTGAGCCACCATTTCCACTTTTACAACCGGTACCTATTGTTGGTTCATTACCAATTCATTCCAATCCACCTAGTGAGTTCGAAATATAATAAAAATAGAATGTTTATTTAATAGATACAGTATACTACCTGTATTAAACATTGCTTTAAATTTGTTCGAGCTTTGGTGAAATTAAGAATATATAACTGATGTTTCTTTTTTATTGCAGGTGATTCGACAGCGGCTTCTTTTGACATAAGCACAGAAAAATCAAAGACACATTCAAACAAATCTCAAGTAAATCAAACTATTTCTTATTGTCTTCTAAAGTTAACACTTATATCATTCTATTTATAGATTAAAACACATGGAGCAACTGCCAGTACTAGCAAAAAGACAGGATTAAAGTCGATCACTGGCCAAGTAAGATCATAGATACTTAAAAGAAGAATAAATATTAATGAAATATCTCATTGTTTCAGATGTCTGATGTAAAAATTAGTGCTTCAATTAATGAAGGTAAGATATTACTGTTTTATTGTCTTGATTATAGTGTGAACTATATGAATATAATTATTTGCATTTGTTAGATACGATGTACTCATAGGAAAAATTCGCATAGATCATATCATCACTTTTTACAAGAATCTGCTTCTGCTCTCTGATATTTAGCAAATCTAACATACCTGCTTATTCTATTCGAAATAAATGATTCATCCGAAGAGATTAAAGATGTATCGAAGTGATATACACACAGGAAAACTTTTATTATCGGTATTTAAATCTTTGGATCTCGATTTCTGAGAAATTCTACGAATTCTCACAGAAAAATTAATTCTTGATTAGATGTATAACTAGCTTTTTCAACTCTTTTTACAGTAGACAAAGAGTTCATTTAAAAACTGAATTTCTAATATACTATCATGAGTCTATGATGTATTCTAATGATGCTAATTTTTCAAAAATCTTTACATTTTTTTTTCATAGAGAATTCACTAATACAGTTGTAATTTTTTTACTGAAGAATCGACTTAAAAATATGAGTAAAAATAATTTGCGTTGAGTGTGGGTGTGGATGTACTTTTTTTCTTGATTAGAGAAATGATCATTTATCTGATTTTATTCATATTGATGACTGAGAAATCGAGATCTACTTAAAAGAAATAGGTATTACTGATTCGTGCCATCTTATCATAGTACCAATTTGTCTATGGATAGTTT